TTATTTATTTATTTTATTTATTTTTTTGTTTATACAAATAAATTCAAATTTTTCTACATTTTGAAATTTAATTATGCTTGAGTACTTTATTAATCTTCTACTTTAAATACGACATACGAATATGTATTTTTTAGTTTTTTTTTTTCAAATTTTCAAATTACCAGAATTAAATGTTTATTAAGAATTCGTGTAGTTCAAGGAATTTGTATTGTTGAAAGTATTCATTTTATTAAATAGAGAGCTTGGATAGTAATTTTCAATGACTAACTTAATTAATTTATATATTAAATTTTAGTCAACATTTTTTGTTTATTTATTTTTTTAATTTTAAAAACTATAGAAAAATTTGAAATAAAATAAGTAAAATTAAATACATATTGAAGAAACTATTTATGGAATATGATTTGATTTTTGTTTAAATATTTAAGCATACATTATAGTTACTTAATTAATAATTTTTGCATATCTTGTAGTTGGGCTGCTGCGGCGTTAAAGGTCCCGATGACTGGAAGGAAAACTATTCGCCCAACAACATGACCCACCTGGATGCGGATGATGTGGTGGTGCCATTCTCGTGCTGCGGCAGCGTGGGCCCGAGTGCCAACGATAACGAGATGAACTGCGTGGAGCCGTACGAGCATGGCTGCTTCAACAAGATGAACTTCATCATGTCGCAGAGTGCCATGCTGATTGCCACCGGCGCAACCACTGTGGCCTTTGTCCAGCTGCTGGGCGTGCTCTGTGCCTTTATGCTGGCCAAGACATTGCGCCGCCACAAGTCGATACGCGAGGCACGCCGCTGGCAGCTGCAGCAGAGCCTGGGCGTGCTCATCTCCGGCGGCAAGGTGGGACTCCCAGCCAATTCGGCAATGAGCGGCTATCAGCAGCTGGAGAACGGCAACGAGCAGGGCACTCACGAGCCCTACACATACACACCCCAGAGTCCCAGCGTCAACTGAGGCCAGAGCAGCAATTCTTTGCACAATAACAATAGTAATAACAACAACCACACTATAATGTAAACACCAAAAATATTTAATTTGTTAGCTAAACGAAAAGCCAATGCCAAAGTCAAATAAAGCCGGTCCGGTTCTAGGACTCTTGTCGCAATTCCTTGATCAAATTCTTAAGCAGCCGCAACTGTTCGACTATGCTGGCCGTCGAGGTGCCACCGATGGCATCATATTGCTGCACATTGTGGCCATAGTCGGCCACGCTGGCTATGTCGGCCCCGAAGTCCGAGCATATCTGCTGCAGTTCACCCAGGGGCACCTCCGTTATGTCGACGCCACGTTGTTCTGCCAGGGCGACGACGCAGCCAATGTGATGATGCGCCTGCCGGAAGGGAACGCCCTTGCGCACCAGATAGTAAGCCTGAGAGCAGAAGCAAAATGTTTATTGATTGATTGACCGAGTGATTGAATTGTATGCCCAAACTCACCCAATCGGTGGCCAACATGTCGGAACTGAGCGCTGATTCCATTTGATGACGCTGCACTTGCATGGTTTCAACCACACCCACAGCAATATTCAGAGATTGCGTCAGCTTGTCGTAGGCCTGGAAGCAATATTGTTTGTCGAATTGCAAATCTTTATTGTACGTGGAGGGTGTGCCCTTGATGGTCATCATGATGCCCGTCAGGTTGGATGTGATGAGACCGGAGATGCCGCGTATTAGTTCCAGACCATCGGGATTGCGTTTCTGTGGCATCAAACTGCTGCCGCTGGAGAAGCTGTCGGCGATCTTGATGAAATCGAACTCCTTAGTGCTATAGATAATGAGATCCTCGGCGAGGCGTGACAGATGCAGGCTGACCATCGAGCAGCAGTAAATGAAATCAACTGACAGGCCAAAGAGAGTGAGAGAGACAGAGAGAAATACATTAGAGCTGATGTAGTCACCTGCAGCGCCTTTCTATGCGCTTCACACTCACCCACAAAATCACGATCGCCCACGGCATGCATGCTGTTGCCAGTGACGCCGGCAAACCCCAGACGTTCCGCCAACCACACTCGATCAATGCCCAAAGGATTGCCAGCCAGAGCTCCGCTGCCCAGGGGCAAGACATTCGAGCGATCACGCAGCTCGGTCAGTCGCTGACAATCCTCGCGCAGGGCAAAGGCGTGCGAGAGCAGCCAATGGGAGAACTGAACGGGCTGGGCACGCTGCAGGTGCGTATAGCCCGGCATCAGGATGCCCAAATGTGCTTCGGCTTGCCGGACAATCGCCTCTATCAGCTGGCGAAGACGGCCCAGCGTTTCGCGTATGGCCTTGCGCAGCCAGAGCTTCATGTCGGTGACCACCTGATCGTTGCGACTGCGCCCCGTATGCAGGCGCTGGCCCAGATCTCCGGTCAGCTGGACGAGCAGCCGTTCGTTCACCGTGTGCACATCCTCGTCGCTCGCCTCGAACTTGATCAGACGCTCGACCCAATCATAGCGTATTAGCTCCAAGTTCTTCACCAGCTTATCGCACTCAGCGGCATTCAAATGACCCGCTCGCATCAATGCCTCTGCATAGGCCTTGCTGCCATCCAGATCGTCCGCATAGAGTCGCGCATCATATGGCAGACTGATATTCAGATCCTGCAGTGCTTCGTGTGGCTGTTCACAGAATCGTCCGCCCCACAGCTGATAGGAGGAGCTACCGCTCTCTTGCTTCGCTGGCGGCTTTTGAGTCATTTTCTGAGTCGAGTTAGGAGGTTGCTTCACGCCCGACGATCACTCACTGAATGCGCGTCGCTTGCGTTCTACGATTCTATAAAATATATTAATAATTGTGTATACACTTTGAATTTATTGCGTTCGGTGGGTGAGGTTTTCTTTTCTTTGTTTTCTTTTTTTTTTAGACATACATATATATAATCTTGCCTTATCTTTGGAAATATACGTTACTTTTTCCATATGATTTTATGACCGCTTGTTTTAGCGATAGAGTCAAAATGATGCGTYGCTTTCCAGCACAGTGGTTAAAAATCATTTGTTAACTATTGAAATTTTTTATTATTTTTTTTATATTTAAATTATTAATTTTGTAATTTAAGCATAACATTTTTAGTATATAATTTGTAAAAATTTTTTACTTTTACTGAATAGCAATCTTCTTCAATAACAATTTTTTTTGTCAGTTAAAAAATTATTTCATTCATATTTTTTATATGCAAATAAAATTCAATTTTTTTTTTTTTTTTGGAATTTTTAATTTAATAAATATTAGTTTCTCTTAAAACAAATTTAAATTTGTTGCAATAATAATCATTATTTATTACATTAGGGATATAAAGATTATTACACAAATAGGAAAAATAATTTATATTTTTGCAACCACAGTGCAGCTGGTAACAAAAATACAACTATTTGACTTTAAGTGTAAAAAGGAGGGCAAAACCGCATTTTTTTTTTTTGTTTTATTTTTAATTTGTGCTCTTGATTTAGTCTATGAACAAACAAAAACAATTATTATGAATACAACTACGACGCCTTATCAACTATACAGTCTAATAACGCTTGAAGGGTAGCCTCTGACGCGCACGATTACAAATTCTGGATTGTGATAAGCGCAAACTGGCGAAGTTTCTTGTCATTGTATTCTGTTCGACTACACTCTTTTCATTTAATATATCTGTCATACACACACACACACACTAAAGATCCTCCAGAAAAAGTTTGTTCAGCTCGCAGCACAGACGATTCAGTGGCAGGCCCATCACACAGTAGAAATCACCATCGATGCGAGGTATTAGAGCACCACCCGGACCGTTCACCCCATAGCTGCCTGCCTTATCGCTGTGGGTGAAAAGTTGAATCACAGGTGAACTCTCAAGCTAGCAAGATTACAAATATACCCTGTATTGCTACAGGCTAACATAGATGGGTGTGTTGATGCAGTACTGCATTCTGAATGTGGTGAAATGAGAGAAGAAGATGATGGAAGTGAGCTGTTCAAATCCTATTTTACATATTTTAGCTTAAGTTAAATATACATTTTATGCGTTTTCAAATATTCTGTTAGAATTGTGACTGGAATATCTTTTCTAAGATGACAAGTGTTAAATAATAATTTTTTAAATAAATCTATCTCCCTTATCTATACAAGTATCGACACAACAGATATACAGCCAGACTGTATTCAGATTGGGAATCTCTTCAGCAAATAAGTAGGGCTTTTCGAATTTCTATATTTATTGGTTAGTAGTACGGGTATCTATAAGTCGAATATTTTTTGAAGATATATATATATTAATAAAATATTTTTATAATTTTTCTATAATTTACATTAGGGCCTGTTCAAAATAGATTTATAGCTTTCAAATCAAGCAACAAATAAAAATACGTAATTTTTTTTAAGTAAATAAATCATATTTATAATTTTTTTTTAACTAAATTAGATTTCTGCTAAATGTAAAATAGAAAGTAGGTAGAAAAATTAATTAATAAAAGATACAAATTTGCAATTGCACAAATAAAATAAATAAATTGAACTTAAATAATTGTTAGATAATCTAAGTTCATTCTTAGATCATGAAATTTTATATATGCTTAGGAATTTTATAGATGCTAGATGCATTTAATAGAAGCCTTTTATAAATAAAAAATAAATATACATATATATGAATGTATGTTGTATGAATAAGTGAATGATATCTTTATCAAATCAATCAAGTCTAACAGCATCAAAAGCTCTAGTCTACATACTGTCAGTACTTACAGTGGATCGCCGCTGTCGACATAGCTCCTGATCTGCTCCTCTGTCAGCTGGCCAAAGTAAACGTCCGCCGTGTCCGTGAATTGCCGAACGCCATTCGAATGCTTCAGGACAACGCCCGTAAAGACACGATTGCAGGCGCCGGAGAGCCTGAAAGGGCAAATCGTAAATTAGCCAGAAGGAGGGTATATGAACTGATTGATTACTTTGTCAGCATGCGCACAGCATCATCTGCATCCTTGGGCTTTCCAAAGATCTCGTTTCCAAGCGTAACCATTGTGTCGGCCGCTATGACAATCAGCTGACGGCCGTCGCCGTCGTTGTTTAGGCGCTGATAAACTTCCTCTGCCTTGCCCAAGGCTGTCGCCTCTATGTAGTCGGAGAAAGATTTGAATTCTGCCCTATCCAGATTCTCTTCAAATGTCGAAGGGCAGAGCTCTGCATTGAGGCCCTAAAGTATGAATATAAAAAATTTTAGTTTCTGAACTTTTGTTTTTGGATTTTAGTGCACTTGCCAGCATTTGCACTAACTCTTTGCGTCGTGGGGACCCACTTGCAAGAACTATGCGATAGTTGTTTAATAAATGTTTTATAGGTGCCAACATTATGAAAACTAAACAATTAATTTATAATTTAATAAGAATAAACCGCGAAACACGGTAAAAGCCAAAACATGTGCACAATTATCGAATTTATACTTATCGATAATTGCAACAAAAACTACAAAATCATAGGTAAAAAAATGGCCTAAAAAATGCTGAAAGTGTGGGTAAAGCATGGATATTTAATGATTGTTGTTTACAAATATAAGCAAATCATCTAAGTTGACTATATGTTTATGAATATTAATTAAATTGTCAAGATGTCCAAACAATTTATGTATTCTGAATTTGCTTAAAATTACTTGGTATTTCAATTGACACCCACGCAATATACTACTTGTAATCACTGGTCAGTGTTGTAATGTTGTGTTTTTTTAGCAGCATATCAGCTGCGGTGCCGTGAAGATATCGATCGGCCGCCACAAAGTATCGGTCAAGTGCAGGCGTCGCGAATCTCTTCGGCGGCGCGTTTTAGTTTGCCAAAAACATTTTTGTTGTGCAATTGTAAATGAAAAAGCCAATACTAGTACCAAATTTATCGTTACTCACTGGCTTCTGCAGCCATATTTAAATTAACAACCAAGCTGCCTTGATATTAAACGGAAAAGTGCATAGAAACAAGAGCCAAAACATAATGAAGAAGCAGCATGAATTTCGCTAGCATACGCTTATGTACAAATATGTGTGTATGTGTGTGCGTGTGCGGGCGCGTGCGGGTGTGTGTATAGTATAGTATAGTGTAGTGTGTATGTGTCTAAATTAGCTTAGTGATATTTTTAATTGTACCATCGACATCGTCAGCGCCGAAGCCGATGCCATCGTCGCTGTCCCATTGTCAAATTCAAAGTTCCGCTGTGGCGACCGCATTTGCCGTTAGTTAACATTTACAGCTAAACAGCCGCAGAGCTCGTGTCTACGTGCACACTCAACAACAACAACAATAATAATAACAACAGCAACAAAAGCAGCCGAAAATAAAAATAAATAAATAAATACGGCAACTTTGTCATCGTCACCTTGAAGTGCCACTGGCCGCTGGTCGCTGCCGCTGCCGCAGTCATAGTCACAAGGCGCACGCGAGCCCTCGCAGTCGGTTGTCGTCGATTTGGCGATTTCCTAGCCTATTTCATTGTCTCGCGTCTCTCGTCTCGCTCGCAACAACAAAGTCCAAGTCTGGGGCAGACGCGTCTGCCGGGCCGTGTTGGTGTCAAGGTTGGTGATAGAAATTAGAATAAAAGAAGAAAAATAAATAAATGAAATATATAAATATATGTGCAAAGAAAAAGAGTGTACATCTGCATACATTCACATTCACGATAAGCATATTAACTGATTATTTTGGACATAGCAATAAATACTAAATGTTAATCATTATTTGTTTACTAATGTCAGCGAAATTTTGGCCTCTGCGAATTTGCAACTATTGCGTAAACAACGTAAATCAATGTTCAATTTTTGCGTGTAATGTACTAAAAGCGAGGGTTGATTGAAAAGTTGTTAATAATAATAAAAAGTGTAAATTTCACAAAGGAAATGTAGCTTCAAGAGTTGCTTATAATAGATACATTTGACTAGAGAAATTCAATTTACTAAATCCAAGTTTACAACAAAATATAAATTATACCAAAATAAAATTTTAATTTCTTTTATTTGTAAATTACTCTAAAATAAATTTATAATATATTTATTTTGAATTTATTGTTATTGCAATAAAATTGATTATCAGAAGCCAACCTTAATTGAATGAAAGCTTATCATACAATAAAAGTTGAGTAAACCCTATAAGCAGCCCTCTGTTAATTATATTAATGGCAAAGCCAAAACGGAAATATTTATATTGCTTACTCATATATGAGAAAAAAGACATAAAAATTCAAATTCCAGTTAAAACCAGTAAAATAAATAGATCTTAATTATTAAACCGCAAATATTAAATGAAATTGAAAAAAAAAAGTATATCTTGAGTAAACCAAACAAAAACCGAGTTTCCGTTATATGTATGAAGAATACAAAAACAAACCAGCTATAAACTGTTTGTCAAACTGTAAGCAGCAGTGCTTGCAAAACTTGAAATTCTGCTCAGACAAGAATCTACATACGAAACAAGCTAACTCTCTCTGTTCTCTTTCTCATTCTATCTTTCTTTAGGACACACACGTTTCACGTGTTTGCATCGACCACAATTTTGTAGCTAAACATTTTGTCGCACTCTCCCAACGATAAGTTCGCCGTCGCTCACGAAATTACTCTCTCACCATGTTCTCACGACAGCAACTGATCAAAGCGACGGCCACAGCGTGCCCAGCTGGCAGTGGCGTTGGCAGCGCTGCTGACTTATACAAGTTCCTTAGGCAACTCAGCAGCAACAGCAGCAGCAGCAGCAGCAATGTCGTCGTGACGTCACCGACGCCGACAACAGCAGCAGCAGCAGCAGCAGCTGAAGCTACAACTACAAAGCCAAAACCAAATCAATCTAGTCAAACGGCGTTGAGCGAATTGAACTTCAGCGACAGCGTCAGTCACAATTCGCCTTCGACAGCGCACGGTTGCTGTTCAAGTGAATCGAAATCGGAGTCGGCGCAGTTCGTCAATTTATCAAAGCGATTTGTACACAATATACTRCAGCAGCAGCAGCGTAGCCAGGACACCATACAGCGACATTTGCATACGAAGTGTAACGGAACTAACGCTAAATCCTCGCATCCGCAGCAACAGCACCAACAGCAGCAACAACAACAGCAGACAACAACAAAATTTGCAATGTCCTCACTGGCCGCCGAACCACTCCAATCTGAAATCTCCAACAGCGATGGCAGCAGCAGCAGCAGCAGCAGCAGTCTAACAGCTGCCACAGCCGCAGCAGCAGCGGGAAGCGAAGGCGCTGCCTGCCACGATGCAGCCTCCAGTGCGGGCAAGAAGCCCTGCTTCAACACAGGCCTCGCCGACATATTGCAGTTTATGGAGCTGATCGGCAACCTGAAGGTGAGTGCAAAGCAAATCAATGCAAATCAGAAAACCAAGCGGAAACAGCGAGAGAGGAAGATGGAGAGAAATATTCGAGTAACCAGTTCCTGCTGGGGTATTCAATTACTCTTTCTAGCTTACGCATCGATTTTTCAACTACAGGCACTGATTATGCTCTGCTCTTTTATGTTGTCTTCGTTTCCCCCTCTAGGTCGCCCACACTCTCTATCTCTCTCTTACTGTTTTTGTGAGAGTTTGTTAGTTTTGTTTATTTTTGTTTGACTTAAAAAAAAAATTTTTTTTTTTTGGCTGCTTTTATCGCCTACACGCTATCGCGTGACTCTGAGATTATTATTATTTTTGTTTATTCCGTTTCGTAACGCACTGCCAAATTTTAAGGTAATGAAGGGGACGTAGCGGATTTTCAATGTCTGTCACAAGGTTTTATTGTTGTTGAATTTTGAAGTTGCGACCGTGAAAGTTTTTCGTTTGAAAGTCGATTGATATAGTAGTCAAGAATTTCTTGTAGATTCGAATATAACAAAAATGGGGAAAAACGACTATATATATAATGTATATCTGATCACAAGTTTAGAAAAATAATGAGTTAACAAAACGAAAGCGAAAAGAAATGCTAAATGGGATATTCTAGACCGTCCAAATGTTAATGAAGTGGATGAGAAAAGATACGCTAAACAATTATATATTATTTGTCAGTTTTGTCAGATAACTGAGATGAGTTTTTTAATTAAAAAAAAAGGAGCAAAAAAAAAAAATGAAATAAAACGATTATAAACTATAAAATAC